GATATTTATATATGCTCCAGGGATATTGGACAATGGCAAGAACAAAAACAACAACAAAGAGACCGTAAGAGAAGGATCATCCCAACCTCGCTCGTGGCATGATCGAAACTTGGGGAGCTCGGAGGGACATGATAAAAAAGATAATCGAGAATTTGCACAAGCAAGACAACATTTGAACTATTCCTTTTCCGTTTTTATGTGGTTATACTTTTTTAGATTTTAGATTATGGGATTGCCAAGTTGAAATGACAATAAATACTAGTTGTATCGCGGTTTATCGAAAAACGACTTTGCTTTATTATGGATTTGCTTCACTAAATATCAACACAAACAAACATTAATAAACATCCACACAGAACAAATATCCAAACTACCGAGACTATTATCTGACCGTAGCAAACTAATACCCACCACACACAGATTAATATCTGACCATCACAGACTAATACCCACCACACGCAGATTAATATCTGACCATCACAAACTAATACCAACTACACAAACTCTAAACCCTAATCGCTAAACACTAAACACTAAATCCTTAATCCTAAATCCTAATCGCTAAACAGTAAATTGGTGTAATATGATTGGCTAAGTGTGTGATGCTAGATGCTTAAATAAACAAAGGATCACATCAGAATAGTTACCAAAAGTGCCCCAATATCTGTACAACATAAAAAAATATCCACATCACCCAGACTAATATTCGTTCCTACCATAAGAAATATCCGCACCAACCCTAACTAATATCCACCGGTTACAGACTAATAATATTCTGCTACACAGCCAAAATATCCACACATCGCGAACTAATATCCTCCAATCACATAATAATATCTTATCACCACAGACTAAAATCGACCACCCTACATTGTGTTCAAAACCATTTCCACAATATTGCCTTCTAAACCCGAAACCCTAATCGCTAAACACTAAATCCTTAACCCTAAATCCTAATCGCTAAACCGTAAATTGGTGTAATATGGTTGGCTAAGTGTGTGATGCTAGATGCTTAAATAAACAAAAGATCACATCGGAATAGTTATCAAAAGTGTCTCAATATCCGTACAACATAAAAAAATATCTTCACTACGCAGACTAATATTCGTTTCTACCATAATAAATATCCTCACCAACATTAACTAATATCTACCCCTCACAGACTAATATCCTGCTACACAGCCAAAATATCCACACATCGCGAACTAATAACCTACAATCACATAATAATATCTTATCACCACAGACAAAAATCGACCACCCTACATTGTGTTCAAAACCATTTCCACAATATTGCCTTCTAAACCCGAAACCCTAATCGCTAAACACTAAATCCTTAACCCTAAATCCTAATCGCTAAACCGTAAATTGGTGTAATATGGTTGGCTAAGTGTGTGATGCTAGATGCTTAAATAAACAAAAGATCACATCGGAATAGTTATCAAAAGTGCCTCAATATCCGTACAACATAAAAAAATATCTTCACTACGCAGACTAATATTCGTTTCTACCATAATAAATATCCTCACCAACATTAACTAATATCTACCCCTCACAGACTAATATCCTGCTACACAGCCAAAATATCCACACATCGCGAACTAATAACCTACAATCACATAATAATATCTTATCACCACAGACAAAAATCGACCACCCTACATTGTGTTCAAAACCATTTCCACAATATTGCCCTCTAAACCCGAAACCCTAATCGCTAAACACTAAATCCTTAACCCTAAATCCTAATCGCTAAACCGTAAATTGGTGTAATATGGTTGGCTAAGTGTGTGATGCTAGATGCTTAAATAAACAAAAGATCACATCGGAATAGTTATCAAAAGTGCCTCAATATCCGTACAACATAAAAAAATATCTTCACTACGCAGACTAATATTCGTTTCTACCATAATAAATATCCTCACCAACATTAACTAATATCTACCCCTCACAGACTAATATCCTGCTACACAGCCAAAATATCCACACATCGCGAACTAATAACCTACAATCACATAATAATATCTTATCACCACAGACAAAAATCGACCACCCTACATTGTGTTCAAAACCATTTCCACAATATTGCCCTCTAAACCCGAAACCCTAATCGCTAAACACTAAATCCTTAACCCTAAATCCTAATCGCTAAACCGTAAATTGGTGTAATATGGTTGGCTAAGTGTGTGATGCTAGATGCTTAAATAAACAAAAGATCACATCGGAATAGTTATCAAAAGTGCCTCAATATCCGTACAACATAAAAAAATATCTTCACTACGCAGACTAATATTCGTTTCTACCATAATAAATATCCTCACCAACATTAACTAATATCTACCCCTCACAGACTAATATCCTGCTACACAGCCAAAATATCCACACATCGCGAACTAATAACCTACAATCACATAATAATATCTTATCACCACAGACAAAAATCGACCACCCTACATTGTGTTCAAAACCATTTCCACAATATTGCCTTCTAAACCAGAAACCAAAAAACTCGAACCCAATACCCGAAACCCTAATCGTAAACCCTAAACCCTCACTCTCCTACTATTATTGTTTCATGGGCCTTCGGCCCATAGGCCCTAGGCCCATAGGCCCTAGGCGGGCAGCCCTAACTAAGGTTGCAAGCCTTATGTGTTAGGACTTGATAGTGTGTTAGTTTTGATGGAAGACACAATATCCATTACATCACAAACTAATATTCATTGCATATAATATCAGTTCATGAAAAAATAAATATTCATACGGAAAAACAGATAAATATCTACACAAACAAGCATAGATAAATATCACAAATTAATATCCAACCATTTAGCAATAAATATCCTCTATAGCCAAAAAAAATATTCATTGTAACCACACAAGTGAGAAACAGAAAAAGAAAAAAAAAGGTGTTGAGAGATAGAAAAGTGGTGGACCCAACGCCACTTTTCCTTCCTCTCCCATTCCCGCCCAAATTATGGTGGACCCAATGCCACCTTTTTCAGTTTTGCGGCTGGGCCGGCTCATCTCCAAGTCCAAATTTAGCTCACTTAAGTGAGCCATTACAAGCCTTCAACCCTCCTCCCTTGGATCACTTGTGGGCCGACGTGGCTATCATCTCCACCGTGTCAGTATATGCTAACAGATTCCCCTGTTAGGAGTTTAACTTTTTCGGTCCCCTTTCTTTTGTAAGATCCCAATGGGATATTTTATAGGAAAATAGCAGCTTGGGGAGCAAGCTTGCTACAGTGTGAGTTTTGGGTTGGACCGGTTCAGGTTTGGGTCAGATCAGCCCGGGGTTGACTTTTGTTGACTAGCATTGACTTTTGTTGACTGAGTTGACCAAAAGTTGACTTTGACTTTATTTTATTTTTGTATTTTGTTTGTATTTAATGTAAATGTTATTTAGCAATTATTATGGAATAGCATTGTGATTGTAGTTTTTATTTATGTTTGATTTAATTCGAATTTAGTTTAATAATATGCTTATTTATCTTTTCTTATTTACTTACTTTTATTGCTTCAAAATTGAGGTTTAATCCTCACCAGGTCCAAAGTCTTAAGAACCAATCTAAATATCAACTCACACAACTGTTATATCGCCTAATTCGTCAAACCAAAGCAAAACAGGTTAACTCTCGCTATCAAATCATATCGATCGAGATTTGCTATTGCTTAATCTTATCGAATTGTGATTAATATAACCAATCTAAATCACTAAAATATGTTTTAACAAGTTGTTCATTTTAGATTTGCTATTGCAAATTTTAAACAAAAATATGTTTTGACCCGGACAAAATGTGGTGTCTACACCCTGCCTTCTAAGTTTGTGATCTGCCTGAAAATCATCGGAACAAAGATGACAGTACTTTCTCGGTATAATTTCAATGGCTACTGTTAACACAGAATGAACTAAGAGGATTCATATAAGTTAGTTAAGCTTGTCAAGGATGAAATGGTAGAAGGTATAGGGCCCTCCAGAAAGCAACCTTATAATTGTTTGAATACATGAAAAAGGCGAAGTCATTACCATAAGACGCAAATTGAACAACCAGTAGCGAAAGGAGATATTTCTGAAGGATTTGGTCCCGAAAATTATTAGCTTTATGTTCCTGCAACCATGGGTAGAAATACCGTTGTCAGTCAACTCTCGGACAAACAAATTATTAAGACTGAGCTATGAAGAGAAGGTTAAAGTATTGCCAACACTACCAAGCTTCCGTAGTTCATTGTTAAGTGATTAACAATTAAGCAGCTAACAGTCATTGGTGAAATATAGAAGATTTTGCTACACTTTATTCTACCCCATTACACAATACTAGCGAATCTCCTAATAAATAATTGCTTTCAGATCTCTATTGCATTTAAAGTTTTTGAATCCAGGATGTTTAAGGATGAAAATCTAGTTGACAGAGATACCTAAAATCAGTGTTCTGAAGTTTGATGTGGTCAAACTGGGAAGAGAACAAGTAATAATATAATCCAGTTACATACAGGTTTATGACTCCCACAAGTTCACCTGCTGATCATTGGCTGATGTCCCATTTCATTGTAGACACATAAATCCTTTGTAACCTGCCAATTAATCCCCAAAAAGCAATACCACCAAAACAACTACTTATTTAGAAACAAGAAAGGATTCAAAATAAAGCAATCTGATCGAAACAATTAAATGGAAAATCACACTTAAAAAGGAAGAGGGATAATTCACCTTGAACTGAGGTTTGTTTCTTCCTCTGCCCAACAGTCACAGTCCACTGACCTAGCAACTATCATGAAGAGAGCCAGACAAAAAATTCAAACCTATCAGAAGCATTGAGCCAATTTAGAAGGTAGAGTGAGCAAAACTGAAAGATAGGATGAAGTTAACTATTTAACAGGTGATGAAGTGATAAAAGTGAAAGATAGGATGAAGTTATAGTTGACAGCCTATGTTTTGGATCACCAATGAATATTCAATGAACCTCAATCAGTTATTATCATTATGAGATCCAATATATTGTGGAGAAGGAAGAGCAAGGCAGTGGACCATTTACCTACCCAAGCACCATCACTTGCGAGACAATCATTAAAGCTTAGGAAGCGTGGCAATCCAGTAACTGTAGCCATAGAAGTCCCCAATTCATGACTGTAAAATGGACAAAAGAAAGAAGAGGAAAAATCACAAGTCACCAAATAATCTATGTATATCGATATAGCAAAAATCTCATTTCTTGTACTCTGCATTCATGGCAGCCGTGGAACAAATCTCATTTCTTGTACTCTACATTCATGGCAGCCGTGGAACAAATCTAAACAACATAATTCAACGGGTAACCAAAGTCCAGAATCCAGGATCACCCGGCAGTGGGTGATACTGATACCATACACTACAAGTAACAGTTGGCATATGAGCACAACTAACTAATTGGTAATATAAACATAAAACCCAATGGTAACTGCATACCTTAGTGTAAACATTAAGGTTGACTAGGAACTGTATCTTATCTTTGATTAATCAATTTGGCAACCATATCTTTGGACATGAAAAAAAAAACATTTGTGAGGAGATTCATACTAGATATGATGTCGCCTCTCAGTACTATCATTAGCAAAGCTAGTCACAAGGGTCTCAATCCACGAATGGAAAACATGGAGTTCTTCAAACCTCTTTAGTTCTCTCGATCAACCAGAACTCATGAAGATAGGTAGATATCCACCAACACAGGACAAGATTCTGAAGAGAATCCATACAAAACTCAAGGCAATTCAGATTGAAATAAGAACAACTAAGATACTGAGATACATACCACTTAAGTGGGATCTTAGGCGTGTTTCTCTTGGAGAAAGCAGAGTTGAAAATTCAAGTCTCTCCAATTTAGTCGAACTCAATTTTGCCCCCTGCAACAAGATATTCCAAAAACCTAGCTTAGAAAAGAGAGAAATCAGGGAGACGAAAGGAGAAATTCCTTCCAGGGAGGCGTTATTCTGGGCCCCTACAGTGTTGGTGGTGGTTCTGGTGGCTGTGGTGAAGCTGCAAAGATCAAGGCATCGAGGTTGCTGCGATGGTGACAGAATTCGAGAGCGGCGGTGGTGAGGTATTGGACACCATGGCTAGGATTGGAGAAGATTGGGAAGAAGATCCGTTCCTCACGTTTGTAGATTACGCGAGGTCCGTGCTTTCAAAATCGCAGCTGCGCTTTCGCGTGGACTTCGTAGCGCTCGAAGTAGACAGGAGCATGCTTCGCCTCCATGATTTGCTCAACGCCGCCGGTGACGATAGAGCCAATTTCGTCGTCGGTAATCAAGGTGACGGAGCGTGGAGCTCTGCCTCCAGGACGTGGCATGAGGCACGACGGAGGAGGCGATAAAGAGCCAATGGATTTCAGGGGTTGGAATGATGATTTTTCGCAAGTGCAGATACCACGACTAAATCCCTAAATCCCAAAGGATAGAAAATTCAAAAGAGATTCAAATCGGACTTCGACTTAGCTCAGTATAAGGAGAAATCAGAAATATGCTCGGATCTGAAGTTACCTTTTGAAAATCGTCAGGGAAGAATGATCGAACGAAGTAGACGAACTCTTTTCTTTCTTCAGAACCGCGATTCCTCTGGAGACTGGAGTAGCTGGATCTCAAAAGAATCGGAATTAAGAGGATACGGAAGAAGATGAGGAGAAGTTGGAGGGAATCGAAATTAAGGAGAAGTGGATTCAGAATCGGAATTGAGAAAGAAGAGGAGAAACAGAAGTTGGACAGAATCGACATTGGGAGGAGATGAAGGAAGAGGAGAAGTTGAGTAATGGCTATAGGCGGAAGAAGGAAGGAGAGAGAGGAGAGTAAGAAAGCGTAAAGGTAGATCTTTATTCGCAATTACTACTACAGTCACTAAAATTGTAGTCATATATAGTATTTACATTTTCATAAACATCAATACAATGACAACCAAACAATTTAGTTGTTGAAATTTTTTTGTGGTTTTACAACCAAATTATGTAGTTATTTGAGATTTTTGATGTTCTTATGTAAATTCATAACCAATAATCTTTGGTTGAAAAAGGTAAAAATCATTATGTTACCAAATTGTATGGTTGGAAAAACTAAAAATCATTTTGCTATCAAAATTATTTGGTTGGAAAAAGTATAAATTCTTTTGCAACCAAATTATTTGGTCTCTTCAAGTTTTATTTGGTTATCAATACTTTGATTTTAATAGGCAACCAAATCGTTCATATTATAGCTTCCAAAATATAATTGGTTGTAAATACTAGCCTATTCACAACCAATTTTAATTTGATTGTAAGGTTTTTGGTTGTAAAAACCACTTTTTCTTGTAGTGCGTTTACAAGGTATTTTTCAAAATTTAGAAGAGGGAGTCGCTCATAATCACTAAATGAAATCTATGGTTCATAAAAGGAAAAGTGGTCGAGGTCAAAGACTGGGCCGTGAATTACAGAAAGGAGAAGATGTGCCAATAACTAAAATTGGCTTAAATTTAAAGAAGTAAGATTTAAACCAGAAACCTTGCCCTAACCTCTTTTGATATTAGATAAGTCTTAAAACCACAACGCCACCAACACTCTAATTAATGGTCGCCTTCTTCATCGTCCAAAAATAGGGTTAATTGCATGGTTGGTCACTGAGATTACAAAAAACGTTGAAGTTTGGTCACTCGAAATATTTAAATCCATTGGTGATACTTCAATTTACTGAAACCGTTCACGTTTGGTCACTCTCCGTCCAACTCCGTTAACTTTGGCTGATGTGGCAGTCAACTCTTAAAGTTGACCGTTAACTAAGTGACGTGGTAATTAAAAAATAATAAATAAAATAAATTTAATTTATTTTAATACCCAACTCATTTTTACCATAATAAAATAAATAAAAAAGAAATAAAAAATTATAATTATTAATTATTATGAAATTAAAAGTTGCAACCGACACCACATCCCTTCCCCGCAATCACTTCTTCTCCGCTCGGGGTTGCCGCCGACCGTCAGAGTACTCGATCATCTTCCCTCTCCGGCTCCTTCCCGTCGTGAGTTGCAAGTACTCTTGTATGCTCCTTCCCGGCTCCTTCCCGTCGTGAGTTGCAAGGGCTGCCTCTCTCCAACCGCCGAATCTTCTCCTACTAGTACTACTTCTTCTCCAATTTCCAGGTCGGCTCTCTCTCTCTCTCTCCCTGTTTTATATACATGACTCGTGTTGCGATGATTCCTACTATGAAATCAGGTTGCCATTGGTGTAACTAGTGATCGATCGTTTGAATGATGTTTTTGCTTTTATTATTCTTATGGCTATGGCTAATCTTCCAAGAAGAGGAAGACTGATCTTGCTTCTAGTTTTAACTAATCAAGAAACCACCCACGATTTTGCTTAGCCATTGCTGAATTGGGTTCGCTTCCATTCCATCTCTAACTCGACCTACCTTGAGCTGATCAACTCTTGTATGCTGCTTGTTTTTCCTATGCAGAGAATGTTTGAGCTTTTAAGTACACCGTCATAGAAAATTGCAGCTCAGAATGGTTCTTACAAGGAACAATCTATTGATAATTTGTTATTATTGGTCATCAACTTTCTTGAAACCCTGTTCCCCTCCACAGGTTCACGACGGGAAGAAAAGGAAGGAAAAAAATTGAATTGACAGTAGCACCACCAACTCATATGAAGCATGAAGAAAATTTCCCATCTCTTCGCCTTCACAGCTCTCCTCTTCCTATGTCTTCTACCTCCCCTCCCCCGCACAACCGCTGGTGACATTCGATCAGACAGAAAGGCACTTCTCAACTTCGGCACATCAGTTCCACACACCCGCAGGCTGAACTGGACGTCCAATGGCAGCCCTTGCAACTCGGGGCGGAGGACGAATTGGGGCTTTTCGTACAGAGAGAGGAGAGCGGGAGACGGTCTTCGTCGAGATTCAGCATCGGTGGGAGTTTTTGGAAGGCGGGGAGTAAAAGCGGCCGGAGAGAAGACCAAACTCCGATTCTGGAGGAAACAGGGGACGATGAAGAAAACAGGGGAAGGGGGAAAATTGGGTACCATAAGTTCAATCACAGGATTGTAGTCTCCGATTTGGCATTCAAGAATCGATGGAGCAGTGCCAGCTCTTCGGATTTGGTGTTTCTGAGGTCCGAGATGCTTAACTACGCTGCCGGCGAGAGATTCTTCTCTCTGGATCAACAACTCTACAGCCAATCTGGCGGCGGACAGCACAAATTGGCCGGCGCCCCGCCGGCAGCATCGAGTAACAGCAATAACTACTTGTCGGCGAGGGAAGATGATCGAGTACTCTGACGGTCGGCGGCAACCCCGAGCGGAGAAGAAGTGATTGCGGGGAAGGGATGTGGTGTCGGTTGCCACTTTTAATTTGATAATAATTAGTAATTATAATTTTTATTTCTTTTTATTTATTTTATTATGGTAAAAATGAGTTGGATATTAAAATAAATTAAATTTATTTTATTTATTATTTTTTAATTGCCACGTCACTAAGTTAACGGTCAACTTTAAGAGTTGACTGCCACATCAGCCAAAGTTAACGGAGTTGGACGGAGAGTGACCAAACGTGAACGGTTTCAGTAAACTGAAGTACCACCAATGGATTTAAATATTTCGAGTGACCAAACTTGAACGTTTTTGGTAATCTCAGTGACCAACCATGCAATTAACCCTCCAAAAATATCATCACATTACAGCTCTTCTCACTTCCCTCTTCACCCTTGATGATCCCGATTGGGAATGGCATATTGAATTATATTCCATTAATATGTTATAAATTATTTTTTAGTTGTTTATGTTTTTATAATTAATAAATTGAAATAGCCAATTACAATTACAAGTTAATTACATTGAGAAGCAGCAATGGAGGAAGGTGGAAGCAGCAGCAAGCACCGCCGGCGTTGATCAGAAAGGAGAAAGTGGAGGAGGATTGATATAATTACCATCTCTGGTCTTTAATTAATTTGCAGTTGCTGCTAATTAACCCATGATGTTAACCAAACTTCGTCGCCAAGGAGTCTAGGTGTAATATAGGAGATGTCCTATCTCCTATGGTCTTTCAATTTGTTCGTACTCTTTCTGGTAAAGACAAGTATATATGGGCATGTCTCACCCCACTTAGGGTAATTGGATCATTTCTCACCCCACTTAACGGTCACTTACATTGTAATATTAGAAGTGTATGTTTGTGCAAAGAGTTATAGGTATAATATGCCCTTCTATTATGACACTTTATCAAACATGCCCCTCTACTATTTTTTACATCAAACATGCCCTTGTACTTTGTAAAAATGATCAAACATGCCCTTTTGTTAAAATTTTCATCCAAACACCGTTAACCAAGGCCGAACTTTAGTTTGGGCGACACAAATGACTAAAATAGCCCTAATAAATTCACTTTAGAATTTTTTTGGTTCTTTTGTATAATCAAATAATTCAAATAATTTTACCAAAAAAAAATAATTCAAATAATTTCACTTTGAAAAGACCCAGGGAAATAAATCAGGGGACAAAACTGACATTTTCCCTCCCATTTGCCGATGTCGGGTCGTCTACATCTCGGTTCAACCACGATTGACGATTTTTCAATGAAAATTTTAACAGAAGGGCATGTTTGATAATTTTTTCAAAGTACAGGGGCATATTTGATATAAAAAATAGTAGAAGGGCATGTTTGATAAACCGTCATAGTAGAGGGGCATATTATACCTATAACCCTTGTGCAAAAATATAGTACATGGGCACGTTTGATAATTAGCAATAGTAGAGGGGCATAAAATGCTATTAATCCTTCTTAAAAAGGAAAAATATATTACAAGGGCACGTTTGTTAATTAGCAATAGTAGAGGGGCATAAAAAGCACAAAAATATAGTATAGGGGCATGTTTTGTTAATTAGAAATAATAGAGTCCCATAAAATGCTATAACCCATCATAAAAAGGAAAAATATAGTATAGGGGCCACGTTTGTTAATTAGCAATAGTAGATGGGCATAAAAAGCACAAAAATATAGTACATGGGCCACGTTTGTTAATTAGCAATAGTAGAGGGATATAAAATGCTATTAATCATTCTTAAAAAGGACTACATAAAAAGCACAAAAATATAGTACATACATGGGCACGTTTGTTAATTAGCAATAGTAAAAGGGTATAAAATGTTATTAATCCTTCTTAAAAAGGATTAGAATTGGGTAAAAATGGAAGATTAGCATAAAATGTTATAACCCTTCATAAAAAGGAAAAATATAGTACAGGGGAACGTTTGTTAATTAGCAATAGTAGATGGGGATAAAAAGCACACAAATTACAAATATAGTACATGCGCACGTTTGTTAATTAGCAATAGTAGAGGGATATAAAATGCTATTAACCATTCTTAAAAAGGACTACATAAAAAGCACAAAAATATAGTACAAACATGGGCACGTTTGTTAATTAGCAATAGTAAAGGAGTATAAAATATTATTAACCCTTCTTAAAAATGTATAGTACATACATGGGCACGTTTGTTAATTAGCAATAGTAAAGGGGTATAAAATGTTATTAACCCTTTTTAAAAATGACTAGAATTGGGTAAAAATGAAATATTAAAAAGGACTAGAATTAGGTTAAAAAGATAGTACATACATGGGCACGTTTGTTAATTAGCAATAGTAAAGGGGTATAAAATGTTATTAACCCTTTTTAAAAATGACTAGAATTGGGTAAAAATGAAATATTAAAAACGACTAGAATTAGGTTAAAAAGAAAGATGTGGGATTCGAACATATAACCTTTCCGTCACATTTTTTAATACCAAACAAGCATTAATACCACCAGGCCAACATAAGTTCGTGTGTTTCTGGGTTACGATTTTACTTATTTGTAGAGCTTGCTGAGGGCTGGCTCCGTCCCAAATGGTCACCTTCTTCATCGCCTCTATAAATATCATCACAATTCACAATATGTAGCTCTCCCATGCACTTCCCTCTTCGCCTCTTCTACCACAATATATAATCGTCTAATTCACCCCTAATCTTGTTAAGCTTCTATCTTCACCGGTTAAGCCCTCCGATCATGGACGCCATTGATCCTGATCATTGGCTGATCGACGAGCTGTCCCACCTCACCATCGGAAACGGCGGCATTGCTTCCCCCTCCACCGCCGACGACCACCTCGCTCGTCACCTCTCCGCCATCTCCCGCATCCTTGACCGCCGCCGCAGCGCCGCCCTGAATTCCTCTATGCCGCCACCGCCACCGCCGCCAGCTGGCATTTCCCCTCAGGTACGTACTTTAGTTTTTTTTCTCTCCACATTTTGTTTTTTCCCAGCTGCATGTCCGACGTCGTTTGATCCTTGTTTCGACTTTTTTATTGTTTATTATTATTTCCAGTGGGTCGAAACCGCTGCAACCTACCCGCAGCTGCCACGTGGCTCTGGCGGTGGTCCTTCTCCTGCGCCGCCACCTTCGGTACGACGGCATAACCGCAATCGTGATCAGGTACAAAGAAACATATGTTGAGGACATCAATTTCTTCAACATATATCCGTACGAATGTTTTCCATTTATTTGTAACTCTTTTTTTTTTGTCCTTCTTTTTTTTCTTCTTCCCAAATATGGTATAAATAATTTTTTAGTTCCCAATTACAATTACGAGTTGAATATATTGACGTGAATTGCAAAAAAAAAAAAAAGTTGGATGTGACAATTGCACGTGCGATGGCTTTGATTGGTATATGGATGGTCTTTACATAAATCAAGTACGCGGATCCGATTTGTCCCGCGCCGGCCGCCGGGAGTCCTCCGCCGATAGAGGAACGGGTGTTTTCATCCCGAATTACGGGCAGCGTTTTCAGGAAGGTGGAAGCAGCAGCAGCAAGCAGTACCGCCGACGTTGATCAGAAAGGAGAAAATGTTGGGTTGTCTACTACTACTGTATTTGCCCGAGGAGATCGAAGATTTAATTACTAGCCAGCTAGCTCGTTTCCCCCACTTTTCACTGTGCTTTAATTTGCAGTGGCTGCTAATTATTGATTAACCCTATGTGCATGATGTTAATTACCAAACTTCGCCGGCAAGGAGTCTAAGGTGTACAAAATATATAGGAGATATCTAATCTCTCTTTCAATTTGTTGGTCCTTTTTGGTAAAGACAAGAGTATGGGCATGTATATATATATTTATATATTGAATTTTGTGAATGCATTGGATGTGCTAATTTTATAAGGTTATGTTTGTAGTAGTGACTAGTTTTATACCTACTTGTTAAGCTAACTCATGTGCTTTGGTCGATATACATAGGGTTTGCATGATTATGCCAGGTTAAAGAATGGAGTTATAAGCTGGTTTAAACCTCAATAAGAGGGTTTGCATGATTATGCCAGGTTAAAGAATGGAGTTATAAGCTGGTTTAAACCTCAATAAGACGGCTTAGACCATCTCGAACGATGACGCATTCATTTGCAATTTCATAGGTGGCCCCCTACTTTCATCTCTACAATTTTGAGAAAACATCACTTCTCAACTTCATCCTCTCTACAACAATGAAATCCAATTGCAATTTCAATGAGTGAGACCATCACATTAATTTGACACTACTAAACAATTTATATGTCATCTCTATCATCTTAAATCTTTAAAATATATAATGAAGAGTAAAAAAGGGCTCGCTAACGGGCCCATTTGAATTGAAGAAGAATTGCACATGATACAAATTTGCTAAATCAATGCAATTTAAAGTTGCAATTGCAAGCTCTTGCCACATCACCTTGCAAGTCACCAAAATTGCATCATTGGAGATGCTCTTATGTTCTGCTGGTTTTGTAATAGAGTGGAAGAAAGTAATAGTGTAATAGAATGGAAGAAAGGAATAAACTATTAATGAAGGGTATAATGGTATTTTCTCCTTTTATGTTATCCTGACCCAATAACGAATTGTTTTTTTTTTCATCCAAACAAGATAATTTAATTCTCAAATTCTGCAAATGCCACACAAATACCATATGGAGAAAAAGTGAGTTATTTGACATAACAAATACCACATTGGGAATTAATACATCCAAACTGACTCCTCTAGTTATTCTTGGAGAGTACTTGCATTAGGTTTAATATGGAATGAAGATTCAATATAAGTAGATGTGAGAACGATCTAATATGAGAATTAGAGAAATGTGAAACTAAGTGCTCTTTTGCTTGTTAGATTTGAAAATGAAGGTTCTTAGACGGGAAAGCCTTTGAATTTATGATAGATTTGTTTCATTTTGTATTTGAAAGATAACATTGTTTGTT